ACCTCCAAGTGAAAAATTTAATTCGAGTTCGATTCCGTTATATACTGACACTGTTCAACACAATTAAACCTTTACACTTTTATATTTTGCACGCTTGTATTTCGGGGTTTGGGTTAAGGCGTTTAAAGGCCCGTTTACACTTGCGATTTTTGCTGCGATTTTATGTGCGATTTTGCTCTCTCGATAGATGTAAACGAGTAACTAGTTACGAATTCTCTGTTGTATAAAAACTCTTATTTGAGTATCAGTAACTAATTCACTCATTTGAATACAAGAAAGGAAGAAAATAGCACATAAAATGGCAGCAAAAATTGCAAGTGTAAATGGGCCTTAAGGTTTATAGATCAGAATTAAACATTTTTGAACTCGCTGTATATAGGCCATGCGAGATTTCCGAGAAAGGTTTTGTTTCATATGTTTTTAATTGCATTCGACATAATAACTGTATTTTTCCTTCCTAAAAACAGATTCGTGGTAACGAAACTCACCAAGCGACATAAATTTTTCCAGTAGGGTTCTTCTGTTTACAAAAGATGAGACGCCAAAGGTGAGTTTGCGACATCCGTGAGAGAAAAAAAATATTAAAATATTATATTGCCAATGAAATGATTTAGAAAATTTTCTACGATCGCAAAAATTAGATATGAACGTCGTTAAGTCGTCCACCTGATTCCACCCATTTTCTAGGATTTACTATGTTAGTTTTTAAAAATTGTGTCAGAACAGCAGGAAAAATCACTTTAAAATGAGAAATAGGAAAACATTTGCGTATCTTAGATATTTGCTCATAGAGCCGCCTTAACATGTTTATTTTTTGTATCTTTACCTGTTGAAACACATTCTACTCCAGCGTCTTGGCCATGACTGCAATCATGTTCCCCCCATCCTCTATGAGAACAACTTTTCAAATTTTGCTCCATTCCTGTACATTCAACCTCGTCTAGCCATATCCGTCCAGAACCATCTGGAACCTGATCTCCCTGTAGAGCTCTAACCGCATCGTGATAACCAAGTTGACGACAAACAACTCTAGCATCTTTGAAATCCCATCCATAATCACAGATTGTTCCCAATTGTCCATTGAAAAACACTTCAACACGTCCTGTTCCATTTTTACTTAAAGATCCTTGCAACCTCAGCGTTACATCAGCTGGAATATTTAAAGGTTAAGCTTATGTTGATGCCTTGAAAAGTTGCTCAGGCACGTACGTCTCTTTTTTTAATGCATAAACTGACCGACCGACTAACTGACTGACTCATTTGAAATTTCGCTACGCATCGCAATGAGACGCACTAAAAATGAGACACCAAAGGCGAGCTTGCGACATTGCGTGATGGCAAATAAGAAAGATTAATAATTCCTATTAAGGCTATTATGTTCGCAATGAGACAATTTAGCAAATTTTCTATTAGCGCCAAGTAAGGTAACATATTCTTTCCTGTAAGCAAGTAGAAATTGTAGCGAATACACGCCCAAGTTTATACGAAATGTTTGATTACGATAGAAATCAAACGCCTGTATTTCAAAAGCTTACTCACACTCATTCAGTGTGACATACAAATTTTACTTTACTGGTCCATGAAAAAGTTTTTTCTTAACCGTTGGAAAAATTCAAGGTTAAACACTGAGAATGAACCTTTTATTCGAATGGAAATACCTCTACTCAATGATTTCGAGCGTGAGTGAGCTTTTAGAACACAAGCGATAGTCATTGACTCGTACCTTGCGTGATAACTGGCATTAAAGTTCACAATCCTGATAATAGAGTTACACAGACAATTGCACAGACTAAATCCGAGTTAACAGACGCTGTTGAACCTCAGGTATAAATGTTGTTGAGTCGTTCACCTAATTCAACCTTTTTTCAACAACCTTGTCTAACCATATCCGCCCAGAACCATGAGGAACCTTCCCTCCGTGAAGAGCTCTAACGGCACCTTGATATCCAAGTTGACGACAAACAACTTCAGCATCTTTGAAATCCCATCCATAATCACAGATTGTTCCCCATTGTCCATTGAATAACACTTCAACACGTCCTGTTCCATTTTTACTTAAAGATCCTTGTAACCGCAGCATTATATCAGCTGGAATATTTAAAATATCTAAATAAAGCTTGTGTGAGTTATGCTGATGCTTTGAATAGTGGAATTAGAATAAACCGTTAACCGTAAGGTGATAACTGAAACTGATATCACGAAAATTACTTAAATTTAATGCGACCGACCAACCGACTGACTGACTGACTCGTTTGAAATTTTGCCACAAATCAAAATACTGAAAATGAGACGCCAAAGCCGAGCTTGCGACATTGCGTGACAGCAAATATAAGAAAGATTAAAAACTCCTATTAAGGCTATTATTTTCCCAATGAGACAATTTAGCAAATTTTCTTTTAGCGCCAAGTAAAATAACTTATTCTCTCCGGTAAGCAAGCAGAAATTGTAGCTAAAACACGCCCAAGTTCATACGAAATGTTTGATTACGATAAAAATCAAACGCCTGTGTTCCAAAAGCTTACTCACATTCACACTCATTGAGTGTGACATGCAAATTTTATTTTTACTGGTCCATGAAAAAGTTTTTTCTTAACCGCTGCAAACATTCAAGGTTAAACACTAAGAATCAAGCTTTTATTCGACTGGAAATGCCTCTATCGAAACCCCATGATAAGATTAAGATTCGCTACTCAATGAGTTTGAGTGAGCTTTTAGAATACAGGCGATAGTCATTCGGCTGTATTCTGAAAGCTTACTCACACTAACACTTGAGTGCCATTCCAGTCAGGTGTACTCAAGAAGAGTTGAAGTGTGAGCATGAGTGGAGGGTGAGCAATATGTTCTGCTCATTGAGGTAACACTCATCCTCAACAAATGTTGTTCAATTTGTATTCACTGAGGTCACTCAAGTATAACTCATATGAGTCCCATTCGCCTTTGTTATCAAAATCAGTGAAGTGTAGCTTACTTTAGTGCAGACAGGATACTGCATAACCAATACAAGCAAGATGTCCCAAATAAGACAGTGTTTTTCTGAATTAGAGAAGTCACTTATAACAGAATTAGTTGCGAAGCATAAGTATGTCCTTTTGAGAACAAAAGGAACGATTACAAAAGTATACAGCAAAAAAATAAAGCCTAGGTAACTCTGACAGAAGAGTTTAACAGTCAGGCGGGTGTCCAAAAGCATGCCTTGGATGTCACCACGCTCAAACTGAGTGCACAAGCGACTGTTATCAAATATTCTGGAGTCGTGCGCACTGCATGGCCACCGCACAACGATGTTCTGTACTTCTAGATTTGGCCCAGAAACTGCTTGAATATTCAGTGAAAAAAAAACCCTTCCGATTTCTAAACAATTCTGCGTTTTCTTCTCCTGGGCATGGAATTTTTAAATGGGTACAATCAATCACCCCAACAACATTAAGGAACGAGCATATTCTCCAGAATTCAAGTTTGGTTTGCTGTAGCATTTCAACACCAGAAAATTTGACATATAATGAACTTTCAGTCGAGCAATGGCCTCAGATACGCACTTAATGATACGGCTTGCAGACGGTTGTGATATGTCACATAGGTCCGCTTCCACATAGATATGCTTCCGGAAACGTGCCAGTGGCGTAATAACGTAAAGTAAATAAAAACTTAACTTCTGCAGGAATTGGATTCCCCCGTTCGTTATGAGCAGATTTATCTGCCTCTATAATGTCAAACATCTCCCGCGAAAACCATCCTTAGTTGATCTAAATCTGCCTCTAAATTGTTCTTCATCATAAATTTCATAGTTGAAATACTAATTTCTATTCTCCTTTTTGTTATTGCGTTGCAAATTGTCCAATTGTTGCAATCTTTCAAGCCATAGATTCGCCATGTTGTTTATCACAACTTTGTTTGAGTGTGGTTCAAGGGAGGTATGACCTTCACTCAAACTCCACTCAAACTCGGCCTCTACTTCGAAAGGGAGTGCCGTTTGTGAATGGTCCGAGGGCAAGTGTAACTTTCCACTCATTGATAGTGAAAGAATACTCAGTGAGTACAGAGTTGCACTTTGGAGTAATGAACCTCTGCTCATTGAGTGTGAGTGTGAGTAAGCTATTAGAATACAGGCGATTGACTCGTAAGTCCTGATAATAGAGTTACACAGACAATTGCACAGATTAAATCCGAGTTAACAGACGCTGTTGAACCTCAGGTATAAATGTCGTTAAGTCGTCCACCAAATTCAACTCATTTTCAAAGATTTACTTGGACAAGATTTTAAAAATTGTGTCAGAACTGCCGAAAAAAATCACTTTTAAATGAGAAATCGAAAAACATTAGCGTTTTTCAGATATATGCTCACAGAGCTACCTTAACATGCTTATTTTTTTACCTTTACCTGCTGAAATACATTCTACTCCAGCGTCTTCGTAATGACTGCAATCATGATCTCCCCATCCTCTATGAGAACAACTTATCAAATTTTGCTCAAATCCTTTGCATTCAACCTTGTCTAACCATATCCGTCCAGAACCATCTGGAACCTCACCTCCCTGAAGAGCTTTAACAGCATCTTGATAACCAAGTTGACGACAAACAACTCTAGCATCTTTGAAATCCCATCCATCATCACAGATTGTACCCCAATGTCCATTGAAGAACACTTCAACACGTCCTGTTCCATTTTTACTTAAAGATCCTTGTAACCTCATTATGTTTGATTTCTTTTTATTTGCATTCGACATAATAACAGTCTTATTCTCTCTTAAGAGCAGATTCGTGGTAACGAAACTAACTACGCGACGTGAATTTTTCCAGTAGGGTTTTTCTGTTAACAAAAGATGAGACGCCAAAGGTGAGTTTATGACATGAGTGAGAGCAAAAAAATGAAAAAATTGGTATTATATTCCCAATACAACGATTTAGCAAATTTTCAGTTATCGCAAAAATTAGATAACTTATTCTTTCCTTTAAGCCAGCAGAAATTGTAGTTATAACTCGTACTTACGTGATTAACGGCATTAAAGTTCACAAACTTTATAATAGAGTTAGATTGACAATTGTACAGATAAAGTCCAAGTTAACGGACGCTGTTAGATATTTGCTCAGAAAGCCAACTTAACATGTTTATTTTTTTATCTTTACCTGTTGAAACACATTCTACTCCAGCGTCTTGGATATGACTGCAATAATGTTCTCCCCATCCTTCATGAGAACAACTCATCAAATTTTGCTCCATTCCTTTGCATTCAACCCATTTTAACCATATCCGTCCAGAACCACCAGGAGCCTTACCTCCGTGAAGAGCTCTAACGGCATCTGGATAACCAAGTTGACGACACACAACTCTAGCATCATTGTAATCCCATCCATCATCACAGACTGTTCCCCATTGTCCATTGAGGAACACTTCAACACGACCTGTTCCATTTTTACTTAAAGATCCTTGTAACCTCAGCGTTTTATTCTCTAGAATATTTCAGGTGAGGCTTATGCTGATGCTTTGAATGGAGTTAATAGTAAGGTGAAACTAATATAACGAAAATTTAAGATTTCGTTTCTCAGGACCGTAGGTTTCCACTGTTTTTAATGCACATCTCCAAGTGAAAAATTTAATTCGAACTCTATTATACCGACACTGTTCAACACAATTAAAGCTTGCCATTTGTATACTTTGCACGCTTGTATTTCGGGTTTTACGTTTAGGCGTTTGAGGTTTATAGAATTCAACCTTTTTTCAACTAGCTATATATCAACCATGCGAAATACAGGTTACCCTATAGCATTCAGTACAAGTTCTAGTTAAGTAATATAAAACGATTAGAAATATTTTAATAGTGAAGAGCATACCTGTGACACCAATTCTTACATGACATTGGATGCCAAATGTTTGATGCTTGTTGCTGTAGGTGTAATTGTAGTACCGCGTGTAATTACCAATAGAAAACAAACCAATAAATTTCGGATTGGCAGGATGGGGTGTTGCCGGGCATCTAGGTTTAGGTTCTGTCCAACTGACGAAGATCTTGTCCTGGCCCTCTTCAACTTTAGAATTTACTGTTTGTGGGCATGGGCAATCACAAGCTAAATTGCAAAATAAACTATTTTAAATTTATTCTAGTTGCCTTTTGTTTATTCTATTGCCTTTACGGACCAAAAAGACAAAAGAAAGTGCAATTAGGATGTCGAAAACCTCGCAAGTATATACGAAATATCAAAGAACAGAAATAATTAGTGTAACCGCTGGCTTAATTACCAGCGACATGTGGGCTCCTGTTTTAATTTTTTTTGTGAATCGGCGATGGAACAAGACGCTTTTCCCATCTGTAAAAGGATTTTTTAGCATTTTAGCTTATATGACCCAAGCAACGTATTCAAGCAACGTATTACTGTTTCTTGTTGTAATATTTAGCTTATAAATATTCATATTTGTAACTACATTATGTAGTTTTACGCCAAGTTTTGGGGATTAAAATTGCGACTAAACTGTACGAAAATTGCCAGGTCTACAGCGGATTATTCTCCATAAGGTTTGTCAGTGATTAACGAAAATTTCCCGGTCAAGTGCGGCGTGCACGATTCCGAATTTGCTGTCCGGAAGCTACAATTACTTACAGACAACAATGACGTTAACAAAACACTTGAACTCTATAGTCTTGTTATTGCGTTTGTACGAGTAGGGATAGGTGATCACGTGCTTGCCCAGCGAGAAATTTGCAGGAGACCTGACGTCAGGTGGATGAACTTGGCCTCTCTCATAGTCAGTGCACGTGACTTCTGGTACTGACCAATGGACCAGCCCTTTGATTTCATTAGGTTTAGCATATGCAGTCAACTCATAGTTACCGCCATCTCTGCATTCACATCCTCCTTCAAGTCAAAAAGATGTATAAGTGTTTACTTTAAATTTGCTGAACATGCAGAGTTGCGAAAGAGGGGACAGCATTTGCACAAAATTTTTTGATAAGTGGAAAGACTATCAATATCTACCACAAGGCAGCAGAGCAACTGAGAACAACAAGGTGCGTTATCTAGCACCCCAAGGTGTGTTTTTCTTATTTCGCAGCACACCTTGTGTTCTTAAGCTCAGCTAAGTGCTTGTGTTCTTAAGCACAGCAGCTTAGTTATTTAGCTTTGTGCTCCATGGTTATATCCCATGGCTTTCCGTTCATGTTTTAGGCGGTGTATGGCACCAGATTCTTTGAACAGCAGCAATGACTAATGATAAAATCTGTAAATTTTTTTATTTTTATTTCAAAAACACAAGATCAGTACTATTACCGGTTGTAGATGTGTAGTTATTATTTTTAGGTTACACTACTATTTCAGATTTATTATCTCTTGCATGCTCTTCAATTCATGTGTGAAAACAGCGTCTCGTTTTTTCAATTCAACCAGGGGAAGAAAATTAGGAAATGATTGAACTATAATATTTTATCTTTGCACGATAAAAGTGCACCAGCGTTCGTAGTTTTCCAGTTGATGATAAAATTGCATTTATTGCATTTATTATAATATTAACCAAAAACTCATTCAAGACTATGACTAAGTATGGTCGAACACAATAGAATGGAGGGGTGTAGAATGGAATAGAAAGGAATGGAATTGGATGAGAGGGAATGGGATGAGATGGGATGGGATGAGATGGGATAGGGATGGGATAGAATGGGATGGGGTGGTTTGAAATGAAATAGAATTTGAATGAAATTGTTTATTTTTCACCTTGCCTGATGTGTATTATGACCTTTACCTTTTGACACACATACACGTACCAGGTAAAGTGCAGGAAGCATCAACTGTTTCATTCACAACTTTGTCCAACTCGTCCAACTTTAATTCGAATATTCGCTCTGGTGACGACCAGCCATTAATATATAATTTCAACTTTTTGACCTCATTTCCGACCGCCAAGCGGACAATAGTGAAATTCTTCTTGCTAAGTATTGTGGTATATTCATCGACAAGCCTCGTTTGATTTTCTGAAGATTCATGTGCGCTGCTGGTTAACATCAAAATAACGTCTTCTACGTCCGCACGGAAATTTTTAGGACTTGTCCCGTTAAACGGCTATGAAAAAAATGAATAGTTACTTGTATAATCGTTTGATTGTCGAAAAATACGTAGTGATTGAGTAAATAAATTTTTTTCTGAGGTTCTGGCTTCTGATTGGCTAATTTTCTTTCTGAGATCAGCTGGTTACATAAATTACAAATTAATAAAATTAACCAAAGTATTTGCCTTTTGTAATATCATAGACTGGGGTAGTTACATCGGGTAAAACATCTCACTTACATTTTTTACCATACTTTTGGACGCCGTATCGCCGCTCGGATTATTTTCAAAGCCAATTCTATCCAGCCACTGCATCAACAATGTTTTGTTCTTAATTTCGCCAACCTCCAATAATTCTCTAGTTCGGTTGTCGCTTGAGAAGGAAGCGAAACCAAGATGAGTGCCTTGTTCTTCCACGCGCAGCTTTTCACTTTTGATAAATTTCTTCAGAAATTCTTTCACATCATCGATGTACGTAGAGTTAACATAATTCGAAATGTCCCAGAGAACAAGGATATCTTTTTTACAGTCTAGAACGAAAAAGAATACAGAAATAATAGAAAGCATGCATAATAATAAAAATAGACAAACTTTAAAGGTATATAGATTACAGTCGGTAATGTGCATATTGCATCATTATATCTTTCAAAATATCCCGTACTGTCAGAATATTATTGTCAGAATATTATCAGAATATTACTTTAGTTCACTATATTCATAAATGAGTAAAAGATAGTTTATGCTCAAATAATTTAAGTGAAAAACATTCAAAATTTGAGCAATTTCTAAAGGATGGAGCCCCCAAACACAACCGAAGAATTGCAGAAGCCGCTGTAGACTGTCGTTGAAGTTCTTTCAAAGCGAAAATTTGTCTACATGGGCTTTGGCATCATACTTGTTCTCGTCTCGGTAAAAATTACCGCATACTTATATTTTTATGATATTGATATGATTATGATATTTTTATCTTCTTCATAAGTATTGTGCGTAAAGTTTTGTCTTTTTTTCAAAATTTAAAAGCGACGAAGAACGGAAAGAAGAATTTACACAAAATACTTTTTCAATTATTATAGGCCGCCCATGAAAGAAACAGATATCATGCAGGAAGCGATAAGTATAGTACCGTCTCCCAGGCTTACGCGTATTCCAGGAAGCTGGCCGAAAGCGTATAGCGTCTATGTAAACGTCTGTAAAATGATTTATACAATAACGTAAAGAATTCAAGCAATTTCATTGGTCGAGAGCCATGATCTATAAGAGGACAGACGCACGGAATGACGTCACAGCAATTTTCTTGTTTTTAAATTGCAAACAAATAATTCAATTAATTTTGGATTTTTTTCGCCCCGGCGGCTCGTGGCCACTTTTTTTGTTCTTTTCACATATGACGTCATACCGTGCATCTATAACTGAACAGACAACGGTTCATTGTAATCTATTTGTTAAATATCGCATACGACTAGTAATCAGAAGTTATCTTCAAAAAAGAGAAAACTTCAAAAGTGCGCAATGCGAACTAAACTACGAACTTGTGAAGGATTTAGTGTTTTGTGTTGGTTGCACCTGCAAACGTTTCAAAAAGACTGGCGAATCAGATGATATTGAACTTGATAGCTGCATGTAATGTAACATTAATAAATACATTTACAATAGTCATAATGATCTTTGCAGTTTACCTCTTTTATTTCCATTTCTCTTAGCTATTTCTTCTTTTCGTAAACATGGAATATAAAACTTGTTAATCGTATGATCTAACAATTTTATCACATAGGTACAAAGAGCGTCACAATATTAATAATATGGTTTTGATGTTTCGTTGAGAAATGTTGTAAGCTAAATAAAATTAGGCGTGAGAAGTTTGATTTGATTAAAAGTACGCCGCAGGCAACATTGGCGTGGCTTTTGAGGACTGAAAGGTATTAATTTTGGACCAATAATAAAAAAGTATGTAAATTTTCTAAATTTCCAGGTCTATGCCTTTAACAATTTAGAACATTTCGCAATGTGTTTTACTAACTTTGTGATGCTCTAAAGCGTCGTGTAATTTGGGTCCGTCAAGTATAATTTCTGAGCAAAAGACAAATTATGGAATAACAAATTGAATTAATAGAATGCTTAATTTCCCTCTTGACATTTCCCTCTTGGACAAGGTACCAGTGCTCCCTCCTTTTTTTTGGCGAGCTATGAAAAAAACCGATGCATAGATGCCACGATAATAACAATAAAGATATCCAGATGAATTATCTGTGTCTTGGTTATCTATGCTGTGTCCTGGTCTTTTGCTTAATTGCTTTCGCTATTCGTCACCGCCAAAAGTGCTATACGCCTATGATTACACTTACCACTGGAATTGCAAGAACGAACATAGACTAAGATGGTACATGAAACTGTCTTTCCTCCATACAGTATAAAGTTATACTTGATGTTATTTAAACCGGCAGGAAACGGCTGCGGTGATTTTACGTTTGGTTCCACTTTGTAAAGATTAATCTTGAATTTATGCGAGCAAGTTATCATTGGCTTCGCCCATGACACTGGGTCTGACATTTTGCTCCTCGTAATGCGGTCTATTCTTCGTTCTTGAAAATGACAAATGCAATTGCCTCCTAATAAGAGAACATTGAAAGTCTTAGCCGGAACCTGTCGACGAAGTACGCAACATATATTCCATTTTGAAATAGGTATATCATGCCGAACTACTTTAACAAAAGAGAATACCTCTACTGCTAAAATATTTTTCCGCAGCTCAAATTGAAGATTGATTTGATTTCGAGTAATTTTTGAACATACAATCTCACATTTTAAATACTGCCACGATGTAGGGAGAGCACTTGGCACCATCAACAATGGTTTCGACAGCTCGTTGCTGGGTCTTTGTACCTCACACATTCTTTTTTACGAAATACGATTTTAAGAAAATTTTTCGGTATATCCGCAAAAAACAACTTCGCCAGTAGATCGGTAATTTGGGGGTATTTATGCAATTACCGTGCCAACTTCTGCTTATTTTGAAAACAACTGGATGGTGAAGAACAAGAATAATTGAATATCTTCCTCTCCAAAGTTAAAAATTTGGCAGCATTAACCCTGCATGGATTAACTCAAATTTTTACATCAGTTTTTTTAATCGCTCGCTTATGCAGTTGAACATGTTCCCATAAATATTTTGTGGATAAATATATATAGAAGTCTCATTTTGCAAAGTCTTGAAACGAGCAGCAGTGCAGAACCAAAAAAACCAAAGTCGAGGAAAATTTAACCCAGGGTTAGTCCTAACCTAGCTTTGGAGCTCGGTCTGTTTAAAAAGACCTCGGTCCGATATTTCTCGATAAAGACCTCGCCGTGGTTAATAAGAAGTTATTACTGCATGTCATTCGGTTTTACAAAAACATCGCAAACATTTCACTCGCTTCTCACTTACAAAAATCTGCTAATATGCGTAATGGAAAAGCAATCATCCGTCATTAAGCTTCTTTTCGGATGAATAAGCAGCCCAACAATCAGACTGCATGGACATTTATTAACTTTGACATATAATTACTATACGTTTAATCCGCCAATGCCTGCATGCATGACAACGTTATATAGTATACTGAACTTTCGAATCAAAATATAAACAATGATATGGTTTTACCAACAATAGGACACAACTTTATGTAGTTTTCGTATCTCTCTTCAAGATACTCCGCTGTCCTCTTACAACAATGTGACATATTGATAATATCATCATTTAAACACTCTCCCATTGCTCTCTGTCATCAACGAATTCAGACCATCCATTTGTACAAAATTTTGACTCATCCTCTCCAAAAACGAGGTTTGCAGCAAAGTAAAACATTATAACTGTCTGCAAAACTTCTTTACAGTTGCCGAATATGATTGGCTTTCGTTCGTTTCGTTTATTCCCCATCCTGCGAAGATTTTTAGATCTTTCAACTTTTGAAAGTAAGTCCTTCAGTGAAAGGAGCTGGATGTATCGAGGGTAAAGGGAAATCTGCCAGGCAAGACGGAATATATATATAAATATTATTCATTATATAATATGCAGTGTTTTTTTTTGAGGAATCTGTCATTTTCAGTGAAAATCGATAATAAAACATGTGCGATTATTCATGATAATAACACATATGGGTTTATCGTGTTTGATCATTCTCAATACTCGACATAAATTCCATATTTCTGCGCATGACGCATCCATGTATTATATTCTCTATTTATTATATGTATTTTAGCTGAAACACTCGTACGTAGAACTCGTACGCCAGGACATACGGGGTACGGTGCGTATATTTTCCGTATGTCACGTCTTATATAACGAGTTTCAAAATTTTCCAGCCATTTTTTTGGTTGTTGTTGTGAAAATACAAAAGGTCTTTTGTTCGTTTATAAAACGAAAAAGTAAAAAGACATCTTTAGATAAGTAAAATTTATTCTACTTTTATTTCAATGCTATATATTATTTAGAAAACACTCACATTGATCATCGTCTTTCACGGCTTATTTTCTTGTAGTCTTTGTACGTATTTTTTTCTTAATTTTATCCATATAATAAACAGAATATTGCACGGTCCTCTCGAAGATATGGATTCTATGTTCAAGTGGCAAAAAGGCGCGAGTGCCTTAAAGGTGCGAGTAACAATGCCTACTAGTTAGAGGGGGTGAAACACTGAATGAGATCTATTATGTCTTCCAACTTCTTTTTTCGCCAAATCTATCGGGACAGAATTTGAGCCTACCTCTAAATTGTGGTCGAACTGCTCGGGAACTACCTCTATATTGACGGTGTTCTTTAATCGAATCAGTTGGAAATCAAATGCAACTGGATGTATGTGACATTTTGATAATACATGATAAGAATCTTAATTTCAAGAATTCCAACTCTAATTGACTGAATATAGTTACTTTTTAGCCTGATTAATAAAATCAGCAATCCATTTCAAAAGAAATTGATCATGCAGAATATGAATATACAAATATGCCCACTCTCCCAATTGTGGCGCTTTGGTGCCAATCATGTTGCCACTGTAGAAAATTAGAATACGCGAAAAATACATTCAAGTTTGAGGAGAGAGACACATGAAGGACAGGGCACTTGACTAATGGATTGTCATTGTTAAGTAAATGGAGCTTGTTGAGTACGTAGACACGCACGCAATTGACAATATAATTGTCGGACACGTATTGCATGAACATCAAGATAAAGAAATACCTATATATATATATATATATATATATATATATATATATATATATATATATATATATATATATATATATATATATATATATATATACATTCAGTTTATATTCAGTTTTGCTGTTCGGAGATATTATTATGCAACCTATGCAATTGGGGCGACTATGCAATTGGGGCAACCTCGCACCCAAGGATTTCGATTGATGATTTTGGATCAAACAAGCTGCAAACATATGCCACTGGATGATATTTTAATAATAAACGTTTTGAAATCCTAGCAATTTTTGTTGATTTCATACACACGCAAAAGCACGTCTATACGGCGGATTAGTTGTTCTGTTAATTTGTCATCAGGATGACCCAATGGACTTGTTACGCGTGCGCACATAAATTATTAATCTTTTAAGCCTAAATTTGAGAAATAACAAAT